TGAATAGTTAAGAGCCTCCATGTTTGGTTCCTGTTAAATTTGATTAAATGAGAATAAACTATGTTTTAAAGGATTTTTTTTTCTTTTGTCAGTTGTGGGGCTTGAACTCTGGGCGTGGGCACTGTCCCTGAGTTTTTCAGCTCAAAGCTAGTGCTCTACCACTTGAACCACAGCACCACTTCCAGTTTCTGGTGGTTAACTGGAAATAAGAGTCTCACAGACTTTCCTGTTCAGGCCTGCTTTGAACCATGATCCTCAGATCTCAGCCTCCTGAGTAGCCACTGGCACCCAGCATAGAAGGTTTTTCGAAAACTTCCTTCGTATTTTTACTTGTATCTGGACCAAGGATAATTTATCAGCAATTACTAGACATGATTTTGGAAATTTTCTCCTCTAGAGGATCTAAGAGACAACATACATTATTCCATCCTCTTGCAATGTAAAGAATTCCCAAGTAGAGTCTTTACTATTTTGGGGCTTTTATGTTTTTGATAAAGTATATAATCATAAAATTGGCCATTTAAATCATTTTAAATATACAGCTCAATGATGTTAACCATATACACAACACTTTGTAGCCATCGTCACAACTTTCAAAGCCTTTCATTGCCTCAAAGAGAAAAATCTATACTCCTTAAGCAAAAACTCCCGGTTTCCTCCTTTGTCCTTGCTTTCTGGTAGTCACTAATCTGGTAAGAATAGTGCTTTACCACTTGATCTATAGCTCCATTTCTGGACTTTGGTGTTTAATTGGAGATAAGAGTCTCATGGACTTCCCTGTCTGGGCTGGATTTGAACCACAATTTTCTGATCTCAGCCCCTTGAGTAGGGAATTATAGGAGTGAGTCACTGGCACCTGATTTTTAAAGTTTTAGCAAGGATTTATTTTAGTATAACCAGGTTATAGTAGGGAGAAATAGAAAAACAGAGAAACATTTCCTGCTCTCCATGCAGGAAATGGGAGGTAAAGATTGCCATAACTTGCCCTTTGTGTTTTGTTTTTTGTTGGTTCTGGTAGTGTGGGGCCTGAATTTAGAGCCTTGGCATAGCTAATTAATGTTATTAATATGATGTCAACAGAAGAGATTAAGTAAAATGTGTTGTCATTACTGAGAGGGGCTGTGATTACTTGGGGTAGAGATGACCATAGAAGCGTCAACAAGTATAGAATTTAGGGCTGAGAAGGTGGCTCAGTGGAAGAGTGCTTGCCTTGAATGTGTGAGGCCCTGGGGTCAATTCCTCAGCACCACATAAGCAAAAAAAGCCAAAAGTGGTTCTGTGGCTCAAGTGGTAGAGCTCCAGCCTTGAGCTGAAGAGCTCAGGGACAGTGCCCAGGCCCAGAGTTCAGGCCCCATGACCAACAAAAGAGAGAGAGAGAGAGAGAGAGAGAGAGAGAGAGAAAGACAAGAAAGAAACAAGTATAAAATTTAAACTGAATATCGAAAGATGGATGAGATTTATTAGATAAATATTTAAGCATAACTGTCTTATTCATTAGACACAGGGCACTCAGTGCTGGACCAAACAGACATGGTCTCTGCCTTTGTGGATTTAATAACCTAGTAAGGGGGCCAGACATTAAACAGACAAGATGAGAAAGGCCATGAAGGACATAAGGGTGGGTGGTGGTATAAAACATGAAGTGCATCTGAGCAGAACGATGACGGAAGGAAGGACAAGGTAGGTGCAGGTCAGCATCCCGGCCCATTCCCCAAGCCCTGTGAAGGCCTCCTGGCAGGTTTTTGAAAACAATTAACTTGCTCCTCATCGGCCCTATTTTATATTTCCCAGTCCTAATGAGAATTATACAATTTCATTCCTAAATATTAATATCTGTTATTGTTGATGACAAGCATGAAAGGATTTTTATGAAAAAAGCAACTATTGAGTGAAGAATCAGATATTGAACAAATCACCATTCAAATTTTCTCCATTTCATAGTGATCTGGGTTCCTCCCAGGAGAGAGGAATCACTCTTGACTTTAAAATAAGGCAGGTTTGAAAACAGTTCCTATAACTGAAAAAACACCCATTGCTAGGAAATTGTATAAAAACATATATTAGGTGGTCAGTATTTCATATCAAAGAAGTTTTGTTTTTTGATTCATTACACCAATTATAAAGAGAAAACATGCTTATAACTTATGAAACTGGAAAAATTTGGGCATAGATGGTAAGTACTTTTCAAGTTATTAATGTTTAAGAGCCTGTACTTGACACAAGTTTAAAATAAAACATACTTGATCCTAATGTTTCTCTTGATGTATCAAAGTACTTTTCTCATTTCTATGTGCTAAGGTTTCTAGCAAGGTCTAGTAGCCTCCCTCCAAAAGGTGTGTGTGTGTGTATATGTGTGTGTGTGTGTGTGTGTGTGTGTGTGTGTATGTATGTGTATATGTGTGTAATTTTTCTTAAAAATCAAATCAATTCATAGTTGCCATATATCTCCTTTGGAGTACATGTGGATTCTGGCAGGGATGTGTGTTTTTGGATGCTATTTTATTGCTTGTTTGTTTTTGTTTTTTTTTTCTGGGTCTGGTTGTGGGGCCTGAACTCTGGCCTGGGCGCTGTCCCTTAGCTCTTTAGCTCAAGGCTAGCGCTCTACCACTTGAGCCACAGCGCCACTTCCGGCTTTTTTCTTTTTGCTTATGTGGTGCTGAGGAATTGAACCCAAGGCCTCATGAATGCAAGGCAAGCGCTCTACCACTGAGCCACCTTCCCAGCCCCTGGATGCTATTTTAAGAGACTCATTAATTGCAAACAACTTACCTGCTTTCACCAAACGCACTGCACACTCGCCAGGGGTCACACCATGCAGGTCTCCTTCTGGGCCAATGCACATGGTAGCAGCCACTGGTTTGCCAGATACTTTCAAGGCCTCCACTGCCCACACAGCTTCTTCCACGTGTTCAAAATACTGAAATCAGTTAAGGTTGTGATACTGTTAGCCACAAAACAATGTGAACATCTACTTTATTGTTAACTATTGTTTACTAAGTTCTTTTTATTATTATTATTATTATTTTTTGTGTCTGGTCATGGGGCCTGAACTCTGGGCCTGGGTGCTGTCCCTCAGCTCTTCAGCTCAAGGCTAGCACTCTACCACTTGAGCCACAGCGCCACTTCTGGCTTTTTCCTTATGTGGTGCTGAGGAATCGAACCGAGGGCCTCAGGCATGCAAGGCAAGCGCTCTACCACTGAGCCACCTTCCCAGCCCCTAAGTTCTTTGTTTTAACAGAATAAAATGGAATTGTAATTACTTAGTGTGAATTACGGTCATAAGATTTGAAAAGAAAAACTATATATTAGAAACCAGGTGGGTTAGCATACTTCCATAATCCTAGCACCTGAGAGGCTGAAGCAGGAAGATTGCAAGTTTGAAACTGCTTGGGCTACTTAATGAGACTCTCTCTTAAAAATAAAAACAACAACAACAACAACCCCCCACTATAACATTCACTGAATCAAAGTTAGCAGAAAATTATACTGTAAAAAGATTCTGCTGGGCACTGGTGCTACTCAGGATGACTTGAGGATCATAGTTCAAAGCCATCTTTGGCAGGAAAGTCCTCTAATGAGCCGAAAAATGGAAGTGGAGCTGTGGCTCAAATTGGTAGAGTGCTAACCTTGAGCAAAAGAGCTCAGGTCCTGAGTTCAAGCACTGACTGAAAAAAATAAAGATTCCAAAAACTAAATACTAGTCTTTATTGGCTCTGGACTCCACATGGACAGCGTGAGATCAATAGGCTGGCAAAGTGCACTTTATTTATCTGATCTTGGATCACTAGTGCTTACCTCTGCAATGAGGAAGTCCACGTTCTTCTTCATGAACACCTCTAATTGCTGGGCAAATATTTTCTTAACTTCAGTTTCACTCTTACAGCTAAGATACGAAGGTGTCTGACTCACACCTCCTGCCACCAAAGCATCTCCCTCATCAGCCACTTGCCGGGCAATGTCACAAGCAGCTTCGTTGACTTTCTGCCCCTAGAATGGGTGACAATACATCTGTATTTGCACTTGAAATTGAAAACTATCATTGGTTAAACCCCCATGAGGGTATGGAATTACAGCAAAGGCTTAAGAGGGTAAAATGTATGAAAATATCACAATGAAACCCTGTTGTATAATTAATACATGCTTTTTTTTTAACTCAGTTGTGGGGCAAAACAAAAACAAAAAGTAACAACAAAGAAGTTTTATCCTCAAACAACACTAATTAGACTCATGGAATTTTAGATCTCCCTGTTTATTGTAGAGATGAAACTATGCTGGGAAAAATGGTTTGCTCAACAACACAAGTTATGATTGTAGCTGATTCAGGCACTATTCCATTAGTTTCTGGACTGCTTGAGCCTGTGATCTTTCCCAACACTGTGCACATTAAAAAGTGCAGATTTGTAGAGATGTCCACTTAGCAACTTAATCAAGAGACTAGCAGGATGATTAATCATTAAGTAGCTCTCTCTAATCTGCTTCATTAAATGCTTTTCTGTTCATTTGAGAAATTCTAGATAAAACATGAGTGTTATTCACTACCCTTCATTTTTGTAGTAGTAGACACAAAACTCAGGAGAAGCTGTTGTATCTCCCTGTGAGGATTTGGGTGGTGGAAAGAATGTGTGTGCGGTCAGGGTAGGCACCACTCACTGATATCTTCTCTGCAACATAGTTTCCTCTGTTTTCCAGCTTGTCTTCACTGGCGTAGAAGGTGAAGGTCTGCATGACATTTGACCCGGCTCTGAGAAACTCTCGGTGAAGCTGGCGAACTGGGAGATTGCATGGAGGAAAAGCTGTCATTTCTGTCCATGTATTAATACATGGTATTTTCAAAAGATTCATATAAAAAGACATACTTTTTGTTGTGTGGCATTTTGGACATCTTAGGGGTTAGCAAGAGAGAAGTCTGCACCTCCTGTGAACCTGCCATGACTTGGTGGATAAGTAGCTGAAGCTAGAGGCTCATGGTCCTGCATTTACTCTTATAGATATTTAGTATCTATTGTGTCTATTGTTAACTCATTCATCATGCACTGGCTTTCTGTGTGTATGGCACTCAAGGAAGAAGAGCCTACTGTCCTGTCTTCAGAAAACTCTGCGAACCATTCAAGAATAACTGACTGTGTTGGGCTGGGAAGGTGGCTCAGTGGTAGAGCGCTTGCCTTGCATGCATGAGGCCCTGGGTTTGATTCCTCAGCACCACATAAGCAAAAAGAAA